GCTTAGCTGTCACCGCCCATGTGTATTTTCTATGATTAGAGTTTAGACCTTAATTACTCAACGAAACAAAGATGGCGTGTTATCGTTGGGTATGACTTATACTTTATATTCAGATAATGACTTTTGTTGGAGTTTGAGAGAGCCGTCTCGATGGGGTGGGTGAAGTGCTCTAGAACCTTGGAGGCTTGATACTTTTGTGTACCTCTAATTTATTTTATTTTTATATTTTTTTAGTAATTTGAACTCATGAATAACTGTCGTTGTTTAAAATTTTTAATTTTATTTATATTCTCGTTATAAACTGAGTGCACTGTGAACAGAACATATCGCATATTGCTGGACGTAAGTTATGATGAGTCAATCATATAAATCTGTGTTCCACTTTTCTTTCTTTTCTCTTTGACTTGATTTGCTCCTGTGTGTGTGATTGTCTCGGTTCCAGCACATATTGTATTCTTCTTCTCCATGCCTCTTGGCAACTTGCATGTGTACTCTCTCTGTTTTTCTCCCTCGATCCATCTCAAAATGGCAACGTGCTAGATCGGGACCGGATGATGCTTTTCCTGTCCTTGTCCCCATATTCCTTGCCTGTACCCATTCATGACCTTAACAGCTAAACAAGTATTCGCATGTATTTACAACTTTCAAATAAAATTGTAAAAAATTTGAGGATTCAAGTGTGGGGTAAACTCCCCATTGTTTATAAATTGAATAAGTCAGGATTGCATATATTCAAGAATTTACTGCCTTATCAGAACTAACAGTTTAGGTTAAAGCAAGTGTTTGGTGGGATTGAATATTGAAGATTGTGGTTGATGTCATTATCTCCCCCACTCATGTTCTAATTGATGGAGGTTTATCTTATTATGTGCTACCCGTTCCACCTCAGTTAAAATTACAAAAATAAAACAAATATATAAAAAATTTGAACACATCTCATATACGTAACACAATTTTTTTCCACAATATTTAAAGACTTTGATACCAAATCTAACTAGATTGGGATAAAGGTGTGGTTGATATTGATTTAGAGACTTTGATAGTGTAAAACTTATTAAACATGTAACAACATTATTAGATAACAGTATAAAAAAATAATTCCATATTTTGCTGAGAATTTTCCAAACGATTAAACTAAAGTGAAGTGGGCTATGTTCTTCTTTGATTCTTATACCACTAATGGCAAGGAGAGTATAAGATCGATAAATAGATTCCCCCCATGTTACATCATCTTTCCAAGTTGGGTATTCAATGGATTCAGAACGGTTTGTAAGATGGGCATTACTGTTGAACAGAATTTCTCTAGACGAATACTATTTTGAAATGCGCAGCACATAATACAATACCACATGGATCGACTAGAGTTTTTTTATAAAATAAATATTTCCTCTTATTTAAACAATTATTTGTGCCATGTGGCTGTAATGTTCTAAAAAACAAGTATTTGTATAAAAAAAAATTCGGAAATATTGCAGTAATATGCCATATATTATACTATTTATACCAAATATATAAAAAATCAAAATTCCTTATTCTTGTGGCATGTTTCCCTTTGCTACATTCGATAAGGATAACATTGTTTTATGTAGCATTTGTCTTTCCGATTTACGTCCAGCTGCTAACGTATTACAGGCCAAATTGGCACGACATATCCACGTTCACGGTGGCAATTGTTTTATTATTCATATAAATCTTGGGGGGGAGGGGGAGTTGTAAGGGAAGGCATTGTGCATTAGTTTCCCCTATAAATAGAGCCATATGAGACATCTTTCCTAATCATAGAGCTCTAAGGTTTCTTACTCCTGTTACAAAAAACAACAAGGAGAGGACCTTCCCTCCACCCCTTTTTCCCTCCAATTTCAAGCTTTCATCTTGGTGTATTAAATATCTGTCATTTGTCTTTTTTTATTTGGTGTTCTATATCGTTCATCTTACATCAATATAATTTATCACGAGGAGGAGGTGTTGGTGATGCTGTTGACAGAAGATAGAGAGCACAGATGATGAAATGCATGAAAAGGAATGGCATCTCACTCCTTTGTGCTCCCTATTCTTCTGTCATCACCCTTCAGCCTCCACTCTCATACCTTAATCTTGATAATGTACAAATAAACCCATTTAATCTTACATTTATATTGCTTGTTTCTGTCATAGTATGGTCTAAGGCGTGTATTGACGTGACTTTTTTTTTTTGTCATTAACTTTGCTTTATTTTTATTTTTTTGGATAAACTTCGGGTATTCCACGGGAGGTAATTCGAGCCGAGAACATCTACATCACAGTGGAGCTAGCTCTCTCAAAGGAAAAAATTTGGATTCACAAGGACTTAAACCCAAGACCTTATTTAAGCGGAATCAAACATGCACCACTTGAATCGTCTCTTTTGATTTTTGCTTTACTTTGATTAATTAACAAAATCATTTTTTTCTCATTTATATTTAGAATTTTTATATAAATAATTGTGAATTTGATTGTTAAAAATTCAAGTTAAATGATGAACTGCTGTCTTAATTAAGAATAAGTTGACTGAGGATCATAAAAGTGAAAAGAATGAAATAAAATAAAACTATATATTTATTAGGAATTTTAGCTCGCTGTTGTTATTGGTTAGTCACATGATGGATAGCTCCTCTACTTATGAGCTCTCATAAACCACTTTATAAGTGGTAGGTTGTCGGAGATCTACCATATAGTTATGTGCTGCTTTACTTTTGAGCTCTCCTAAACTCCTTATTAAGTGATATAAGAACTAATAGTTTGGATAGACTTAATATAGAAAGAGTACTGGTTAGTATTCAGGTTTGTACGTGGAGCATTGACGAAGGCTTCTATTCGACGAGAACAAATTAACGTTGGGACTCACTTGTGAAAAAAATTTAGAAATTTCAATGTCAGTGATGAATTTTTACTTTAGTTAAAAATGACTCTAGTAAAGATTATAAAAGAGAAAAATATTTATATACTTATTTTCTTAAGTTTTTTTCAATACATTATTGTCTTAAGTTTTTTCTTTGGGGGTCAAATATATGGTATCAAGCTTACTATTGTAATTTGTCACTAAGATCAGTCCGTTTGTTTGGGCTTATAAAAAAAGAAATTTTTATCTCTTTCTTATTTTAAAAGTATTTTTTATAAAAGTTAAAGTTATTTATATTTTTATAAAAAATTTAATTTTTGAAAAAAATATTTAACTTTTGACTTCTACTTTTTTAGAAGTTAAAATTTTTAGCTTCTTAAAAAGTAGATTTTTAGCTTTTTTTTGTAACTTTTGTTTTTTTTAAAGCAGAAATCCAAACAAACTTAAAGTGAAAAGTATTTTTTTTTTCTTAAAAAAAGTAGCTTTTGGAAAAGAAAAGAAAAAGCTCATCCAAATAGTTCCTAAATCGATTGATCGATGTAGGTCTCTCCTACTTGGGCTCCTCTGCCTAAAATTAATGTTTAAGATATTCCACTTAATGCTGAAATCTTAGGTAACTTTAGATTAGTTTGCAAAGGGACAAAGCTTTTCAGCAAGATCATGCCTACAATTACCGAGGAAAATAATTTAATTAAATCTATTTTTCCAATGATATTAAAATTTGTAGCTCCACTTCTGGATATGAAAGTTTGAGCAGACGGTCTCTAAGATGATAACATAACATGATGCTCTCGCTTTTCATTTAACATAATTGATTGCCATAATTTTATATGACCACCTGCTTGGACCAACCCGAGACACCGACCAGCATAATCACCAGAAGCCTAGCAAATACACCACGGTCACCAATATATGGTGTTCGAAGTTGTAAACGATAGGATCTTCTTAATTGGTTGAAGAAATAACCAATTCGAAACTTGAAGTCAAGATGATGATGGTGCTTTGCATGGGCGATGCGATTTTGGTCAACGATCAAAGTCAGGATGTTTGGTCAGGTGTTCGTGGATCGGCGTGGGGTCGACTATCTCGTTATTAAATGAGGGAGCCTTGTTCAACAATGACCAGTTTGCAAGGGACCTAATGCAAAGAAGGAAGACTTCCCAAAGAAATTATAAATTATCGAAATCAATTAAAAATAATTTGTAACTTGAATATGTTACACAGTATAAAAATAATTTGTAACTGGTGTATAATTTGTAACTGGTGTATATTACACAGTTTTCAACAGTCAAAAAATTACCTTTGTCCATCAAGGTAAATCTGTAACTGGTGTATATTACACAGTACAAAAATAATTTGCCCCTAGTTTAACCTATATTATTACAATTAAATATATTATTTATCAACTACATATTTTTTCACAATAAAAATAAAAACAAATTATATTATGAAATCAAATATTTTGCTTAAATTTTTTTCTAGGCACAAAAGTAAAAAAATTAAAAACAATATAAAATAAAAAAATAATTATTTTTTCTAGGCACAAAAGAAAAAAAATTAAAAAACAATATGAAATAAAAAATAATTATGATGTACACTCTAAATATATTTGGAAAATTCTAAATGCTCCGTATTATAGATATATGGAATAAAATTATTTTTATGCCACTGACATAAAATACTCAAACTGGTAACACGTGGAATTAATATCAATCGTGGCAGCCTCCCAGAGTGGTGTGGGCTTATCTGTCAGTTTCTCATGAGCACAGCATACCAACTATTACGCATGTCAGTTTCAAATATGGTATGGCCCACACCATATTTGCAGCACAACCCTATGTGATTACTCTAAAATCTCAATTAATTCGCACGCAAATTCAACAACAACAATCACACACAAAAATTGCAACAAAGCCAATATCATTTCCATCCAAAATTCCCAACTCAAACCTTCGTTTACTTCCCTCTTTCAAATACTCGGCACGCAATTTTCGTTTCCCATTACCCATTCTCGGTTAGTCTTTGTTACGTGTTCAAACACCCCTTATTTCCCTATATAAACGGCGTCGTATACATAACTTCATCAATCTCCTCTCATTCTCATCGTAACTGATCGATGGCGGCGTTGATAAGTTCACCACCGATGGTCACATTGGCGGTCGCGGCGATCTTTGCGTCGGTCCTGTGTACGGCGTCTTACGGGCGATTGGTCGGAGGGAAGACGGAGATCGAGGACGTGAAGACGAACGAGGAGGTGCAGGAGCTTGGGAGGTTCTCGGTGGAGGAGTATAACCAGAGCGCGAGGCTGCGGCGGAAGATGGAGGAGGAACTGGAGTTCGTGGAGGTGGTGGAGGCGCAGCAGCAAGTGGTGTCTGGTATCAAGTACTACATGAAAATATCGGCTATTCAGAGTGATGGAGCTACCAGAATGTTCGACTCCGTGGTGGTGGTGAAGCCATGGCTTCGTTCCAAGCGGCTTCTCAACTTTTCTCCTTCCTCCCACTAAGCTAGGGTTTCTGGTTTGGCATGGTTAAATCGTGGTAATATTGTAATAGTGACTTGTAAAATAAAAAAAATAAAAAGAGAAAAAAAAATGTTCCAATATGAATGAACTACCAACTACCAAGTACCAACCATGATGTTTCAAAGAAATTAAACAACTGCATGCCAAAGTATAATATGTTTGTAATAATTATTCTTATGTTTTAATTTATCTAATGTTTTTATTGTTTTTTATATTCAATATAATATGTAGATATTTTGTGTGCATCAGTATGTTAGGAAACAAATTGAATGCATTTATAGGAGATTTATAGAACAGAATTTTTTTTTTTTTGGCCTGAAAATTATGATTTTTAGGAATATGGTCAGAAAAATTTTCCGCAAATTTTATTAAAAAGTTATTCTGTAGATTAAAATATTATCGAGAATATTAACTTTAAGATTACTGAATTTATATTTAATTAATTGTCACATATTAACGAAAATGTGAGATTATTTTACAAAAATAATTTCACCTTATATTTAATTAATTGTCACATATTAACGGAAATGTGGGATTATTTTACAAAAATAATTTCACCTTCCAACATTTTGGAACGGTGACCATTTTGTCACGTTTGGATAAAAAAATTATCAAACTGTCACGCTAACAGTAAATTTTGTCAAAATGCAACGCAGCATAATTCCCTACACAGTGTAGGGAATTATGCATGCAAGTAATTCGCTACACAGTGTATCGAAATATGTCACGTCAGAACCAAAATGCCACATGTCAAATTTTGAGAAATTCGCTATCCTATGTAGCGAATTTTTCAAAATTTGACACGTGGCATTTTTGGTTCTGTGCATTCTGACGTGGCATATTTCGCTACACTGTGTAGTGAATTACTTGCATGCATAATTCGCTATACTGTGTAGCGAATTATGCCGCGTGACATTTTGGCAAAATTTACTGTTGGCGTGACAGTCTGATAATTTTTTTGTCCAAGCGTGGCACTTTAGTCACTGTCCCGAATTTTTTTTCCATTTGCACGGATAAACATGCATAGGGAACACAAGCATAATACTCTACTTTGTTCACCAGCCATTTTTCACCTTAATTTCGAGGATCCAAACTCAAGAATAGAGGAGTCTAATTTTGAGAGATCTTTTGTCTTTTGTTTCCTCTTTCTTCCCAAAAAAAACAGAGAGAGACAACCTTAGATATTTTCCGTTGAGTTCTTGAACCAAAGACACGTTTTTTACTATGTTGTCGGCTATCTTTGACTGTTGGTTCTCGTTCACCTGCTGAATCAGCATGCGATTCCGATCAAGCATCGAACAGGTTCGCCCACACCTCGGGGTCTCCATCCTCTTCCTCCTCCATCTCCCGTCTGACTCCTCGATGATGGTGTTGACGATGGTGGAGGGGTGGTGGCGCCGATGGTGGTTTGATGGGTTTTTCATGGTTGATTCAGCGGCTGAGGAGGATGAATGAACAGTGGTCATAAGCATGAAACAAGAGGGGTATTTTTGTTCGAGAAATTTGTTTCCATTTTCCCACCGGGTGGGATTTCTAAAATATTTTGGATTGGAAAAATGTGTGTAAAATAGAATCTTGGGATTTAAATATTTTCAGAAATTTTTTTTGAATTTGCGTATACCAAACATTGGAAAATTAGAAAAAACAGTTTCGTTGGAAAATAAAATTTCCCTATGCACCAAACAGCACCTTGCGGATTTATAAAAGTCTTTTATGTTTTTTTTTTTGTAATATTTTATGTTTTTTTTTAGGTTATTATTATATAACGGAATGAGATATTGATCAATTGCGATCTATTTTTATTATTATTTAAGGGATTAGTGTTTCTCATATTGAACGAAATAATTTTATCTTACACATATATAAAAGTATGTGGGATCCATTTTTTCTCTTTATAGGCCCTATATGGGCTCCATATATTTTTATGTGTGTAAGAGATAAAATTATTTTTTACAACATAATAAACATTAATCTCATTATTGATAAAAGAGCTTTTAATTTTTTAAATGTCTATTTAATACTTGATTTGAACCTTCCTCGTGCAAGATTATAGGGCCCCACCTGTAGAAGCACTACAGGAAATAATGGTTTTAGTGACGGTTTAATTTGGGTTTAGCGGCGGTTCAAACCGCCACAAAAAAATTCTGCGTCATTTTTTAAACCGACCTTGAATTTGGCGCCACTGAATAATTTAGCGTTGGTTTTAGGAAAGCGACGGAATAACCGCCGCTAAAATTAAAACTGACGTTCCATTTGAAACCGACGTGAGTACTATAAAAGAAATTTTGATGACGTCAGTAGTGTAAAAGAAATTTTTATATTTCGCCACGTTTAACCGTGGCTAAAATACTTATTTTAATAAAAAAAATTCGTAACCAAACGTGGCTATTTTTCTAATTTGTAATATTGTTCAATTGATATAAAGTAGTCAAAGAAAACATTCTGCAACATTGCACCACTAGGGTTAGCTTAGTGGTGTGGGGTGTGTGTGTTAGGAGTGTGTGTAGTGTAGGGTGTTGTGTTCAATTCCTTGTAACTTTCAAAAAAAGAAACATTCTGCAACATTTAATTCAACTTTTCCATTTACTTAAAATTCAGCAATCCTCTTCAAACTCTTAAATTCAACAACCAAAGGAAAAAAAGAAAAGAAAAAGGAATTTGAACTCTTGACCAACAACTAGAAGTGAGGTTGCAGACATGACAATCAATGAATTAAAAAGGAGAAACAACACTGCGAAGAACCAAAATGGAGGACTACAATAATCAGAAAGAGAACAGTTAATTATAACATTAACATATATGTGTGTCGCACAAGAAAGTATACTATTTAAAATCTATATAGAGACTAAACATTAGCATATATGTGTGTCGCACAAGAAAGTATACTATAACCCAAGAATATCTATCTCCTTTAGGAATTTAAAACCACCAAATTCCTAAAACAACTTTGAAATCCTCCTCCTCCAATGATCGTTTTATATATTTCCGAAAATCAAGTGAAACTAGTGAAATTTCAAGTCATTCATTGCATGTTAAAGACAGTTAAGAAAATGTAATCCCCTAGCATGCTGAGTTTCTAGGTGTAATAAATACAAAGAAAAATTAACCAAATCTTTTTGTTTTTGAAAATTACAAACCGAAACAACTAGTTAGAAAGGAAGACAATATTTACCATGTGACCGTACAAACTGCCTAAAGAAAAAAACCTGCAATCAGGTGCAAGAGAAAGAAACAGGTTAATAAATTAATACGGAACGAGAGAGACAAATTAAGCAGCTACTTTGAATATCTATAGATGCTTGTATTTTTCTTAAAAAAAAATAATTTAAGGAAAAAAAGATCTCTTTTCTTTGGTGAAAAATGACAAATATGTCACAAGAAACTTCGGCCAGGTGTTGCCCATTCCAAGAGAAGACCATTGTTTCTTAATATGTAACCTATATAGTTAAATTATCTTCGGCCAGGCTATGTACATAATATGAGCTTTCAGCCTACACGTGCCATATTAAAGATAGAGAAGGAATACTTGATTTAAGGGGAAGTTCTATCTGTGGTGGTAAGCCAGCTTCTAGGACCTCCTGAACCAAAAACTCACCTGCCCCAGCCTCCTTTCCATATAAAGCAACCACATTTCCTGCCACAGATAATGTTAGCATGTTAGCACAAAATCATAATCTCAGACAGACAATCATTTTTTTTTTTGTAATAAGACAGACAATCATTTGTATGATGGGAAAGTTGTATTTCTACAAGAACAAATACCATTAAGAAGCCACATGTGTGTGTACTTGTCTTGGTCGACAACGCGAGTGTTCTCGAGCTTGACGTTGAGGTACTGATCAACAGAGTGCAATGATACATATATAAAATTTGAAAATCTTCCTCCTGGGCTAATAAAATGAACAACACCACTACAAAATGCATGGTAGTTCATCTAGCTACATAACAGACACAGAAAGACTCAACTTCAGGCCACGTAAGGAGAAGCAAAAAGATAATATAAGTATAGCGCACAATCTCATTGGTCCTTACTCAGGCATCACCTTTTTTTTTTGGACAAGTACAGAAAAGATAAAAGACAAAAGGCAGAGATAAGAAAAGAAGCTAGGCACACGACACAATCTCATCGGTCCTTCATTCTTACTCACGCATCACCTCATGATGTAGACCTTGGGCGAATGCGTAAGCTGCAAACCTTGGGCTTTACCGTTGACATTTATGCCATTTTCATTTTAGGAAATATAAGATAATTTTATCACACAGGCACAAAGTAACAAAATTGATTCAGGATATGTAAACGATGAAAAGTAGTTAAGATCAAGGAAGAATACCTATGAAAGCAATATCCCAAATCTGCAAGTGAAGAATAAACTGATTGAAGAATATACCAAGAATACCTATGAAAGCAATACCAACTTTTACCACTATAGGATTCAAGGAAATTATTCTAATTAATGGATCTTAGGATTCAGTTTCAGAAAATCTTCCAAATTTATGCATAAAATGGTGCATGCATATTTAAGACCAAGCGTTCAACATAACATAATACTATAAATAACTTCACACACCTGATGCAGGACCACGTGGGTCAAAAAAATCATTAGTGGACTCAATTTCCTGGGTTCCAGTTGCAGCAGTACTGGCAGTAGGAGCAGTTTTGGTTGGATTATTGCTTACAGGAGAAGATCCTGTAGGTGCAGAGGTTTGACTAGGATTATCACTTACATGAGGAGAGGAGTCTTTTGGAACAGATGCTTCTGAAGTTTCTACATCCCTGCAATCAAGATCATATTAGTAGAAGATTCTATTGTAAACAAGTGTGGTCCATAGCATAAAAGTTCATACCTTTCACTGTGTACAGGGCTCCGAGATTCACCAACAACTTCTTCATAACTGGGAGGAGCACCCATATTTTTCTCAGAAAGTTTATGCTCAAGCCTGCCCATTTATATTGCACATATCAATCTTAAAAATGCCTAGCAGAAATAAGAATAAATAAGAGAGGGAGAATATCTCTATGATGAATTCACCTTGCTTCCAGAGATTGGTCCTCGGCTTTAGCATTGCTACCTCTGAGAGATCATTGCAAAAAAAAAGACCCATAACAAACGTTTTTTGAGATCAACCCGAATTCTCAACAAAGGAATCCGACCAAAAGTCCTAAATGAATTTTTTGAGATCAACCCGAATTCTTAAACGTTTAAATGATGAGCCAGATACCTACCACTATTGTCTCATATCACATCTCATAAATTTCACCCCAGAGTTTATAATATCTATCAAAGTTGAAACAATCACAAAGTGCACCAAAGAACATAACAAAAAAAAAAGATGATGATTTCAACAAAACCAGGACACAAAAAGGTGCAAAATCTTTTTGATCATAGTGCAAAATCTTCGTATGTCCACCAGAGAAGAATCAATGTAATCTATAGTTGCGTGGAACATGAAGTTTACGAACTACCCATTGATCTATAATTGATCATGAGAGTGGTGACCTTCAAATTGGCGTTTCAAACATACTTCAAAAAATAAATATAGTAAATGCAGTAAGAGATTGGTACCTGATATGGAAGAGAACATTATCTGTGAAGGAATACAAAAGTATTAAAACTCGCGGAGTATGATGCCAAAACATGTATATAAAGCATATCTTATTTGAGTAAAGGGGGGGAAGTTACAATGAGTATCAGGTTCAGGTTATACTATTTTCAAATTTTATAAATGCTCATGAACATAGCCACAAATGCTGCCAAAGTAAACATGTAAAAAAAGCAAAAAAAAAAAAAAAAAAAGATGGTTAGCAAGAGATATAACTGTCAATCTATCTATATTTACTTTGTATAAACCCATTGCTTTAAACAGATATGGACCAATGAGTACAATATATATATATATATATATAGACAGGGTCTGTTTAAGAATTTGCCATGATCGGCATTCAAGCTCATTAAGATATAACTGTCAATCTATCTACCACACACATTCAGAACAAAATACCTTTGATGTGAAAAATGGCCTTCTGTCCGAGACGCATCCTATGTTCCTGGTGCAATGAAGGGAAAGAAGAATCACAGACTCCTTACTTTGAAAAATAAGGAAAAATGGCTAGACAAAACCTTCCAATTATCCTAATTCTGAGCTAACACCAAAGGTACTGGATAACCACAGAAGAATCTTTGCTCAAGCTAACAAATTAGGGAAAAGAAATACACCAGACCTGAACTCATGCTTAAGACTACCATATCAATTCCAGTTGCTGATATGAAATATAATATTTATAATGCACTTACATAATATGCAGCCCAATGGAAAACTTCATGCTTTAGTTCTGCATCCAGTTTCCTTAATAGCTCATAAAGAAGCCTCTGAGTCAACAAATATACATAAAAGTCAAGTATTGATAAAATAACATTTGAAGGGGACATTGTAAAGGAACGTATTTACCTTCAAAATGATCTCTGGAGGAATGCAATTGACTAGCAGCTCATTCAACTTTCCTCGAACTTGAAACAACCTAAGGTGAATTTTTACAGTAGAATTAAATACTTACAAAAGAAATCACAACTTATGTTCATTCATTCATTATAAATATTTTTTTGAAAAACTTAACAAAGTAGAGAGAAAATGTGAAAGTGAAGATATCTTTTTTATTATCTCCCTTAATTATTATTTTTAAGTAATTATAAAAACATCTCGCTATTTTTGCTTTATTACTTTCTCTATTTTCTTATAAATTCATTAAAAAAAGAAACAAAATAGTATTTTTATAATTATCAGTAAAAACATAAGCTAAAAATAAAGACTGAAAATAAATCAAATTTCTAAAATTCACTGAATAGGTAAAAAAAATATTTACAAAAAATTACGCCATAAGAATCGGGGTCAAAACGCTCGGGGCTCATGTAAGCGCACATTCCCACGTATGAATTGCAAGCGTCAAGTGTACGGCACATTACCTTGCTCACACCGAAATCGCCGATCTTCACCTTCATCTTCCCATTCACAAGAAGGTTCGACGGCTTTATGTCGCGGTGTATGATCTTGTGCGCGTGGAGGTAGCTAAGCCCGCTAAGCACCTGACGCGCCACCGTCGCCAGTTGGGGTTCCGAGAAGGTGCCGTTGTTCTTGAGCAGCGTGTCCAGAGTTCCCAAATCCTGTTGTGAAATGAATGGATAAAATAATTAAATTAAACTAACTAAAAACAGAGAATCGAACAAGATAAAAAATCAGAAATAAACAAAATCGGTTCAAAACCAAAATAATAGAAAAAAAATATTCAAAAATGAATGCAGACATTCATAGATCTGAAGAGCAAATCCAAAAAAGCAAGAAAGAATTGAAAAAATTGGAAGTGACCTGGCGAGAAAATTAAGAGAGAGAAGGAGAAGAGCCACAATCCCTATTGTGAAACCAAAGACACAGGAAGAAGAAGAGAGTTTACCTTGAAAAACTACTGTGAAAGATACGATAGCCCGATCTATGCAACGGGGAAGGGGGAGAACACTTGTGAGATTGGATGGTGAGAAAGAATGGAGAAAACCCTAAAAGATAAAGAAGAAAAGAATTAATATTTTATTTTATGATTTTTTCTATCCCATCTGAAGGGAGAAGGGTTAAAAAGGAAAACTCAATAAAAGTAAAAACCTTTTGGTTCAACTGTTTCAAGCTAATAAGTGAAAAAATAATACGAGAGATGAAGGAGGCTTGAACAGAAGTGATTAATCCAACCGCCTCGGGAAAACCGCCCCTATGCATCGTTTTTCTTGTAGTGAAGGCTCAATAGGCCTATAAAAACCTGATCTGAACCTTACTTATACGAGGTATGAAGGCCCAATCCAAGAAAGATCCAACAGGCCCAAAGGCCATTATTTAACAGGGAAGAGAACATGTTCATCCTGCGTAACTTGAATATCTCGCAATTATCCTACGTAACTTAAACATCTTGCAAAAACCAACAACTTAGGCAAGTGAACCTAGCAAGATCAGTTGTTCAGGACAATTTGACCACTACATAAACCAATGACTGAAGGATAGCAACCAGCTCCGTAACATCTATAATGACCTAGCCTGACTATAGGCATCTCGCTAACAATGTAACCTGTGAAAGCTACCATTATCAACCAATAGAAGTGAGTATCGCTACACAAAGACGATATAAGCAAGGCATCTCCCACTTTAAATACAGATGCATTCAGCTTAGGTAAGATAATTTTTCCATCAATACTTAAACACTTTGAATGTTGAATTGACTTAAGCGTCAGAGTGTCTTGCAAGTACAACCCCTAATCTCCTTGAATTGCCAAAGTGCTTCTGCACCAAATCATTCATCTCACTGACCCTCTCACCAACAATCCGGTCATCTCGTGGAGCATATCTCAGCCTAGACCTTCACCAACAATACCGAGCTCAATTGTGTATGATCCAACCTAATAGTTATGGGACTGATCATTGGCACTGTCTGTGGGGAACGATATATTTTGACTCACACTCAAAGCAAGTAAAAGCATGGTTGATACCAGGAGCAAGATGACAAAGTCTCAAAACATATCCAAGAACCAGAATCGTCAAACTTCTCAGAGGAGAATAACTTATTCTGTTTCTCTAACATCTCCTTAGCAAAACAATCCACCATCATACCAACGACTTGCTGCTACCAATCAAAAAATTCTTGAGCTCCTCAAAAACAAATCAACTGAGGAGTGTTTTGATCTTAAAAACAATATTGAAACTTTGATTTGTGAAATAAAACCTAAATAATTTGTTACCAACTGTAAGAAAACAACTAAGTACAGAAAGCGAGATAGAAGCCCAGATCGAGGCAAAAATCTTCCCAGAAGGAACTATCAAGAAAGGAGAAATTAATGACGAATAGATTATCGACGATATGATAGATACTTTGAAAGATCTCCTCCTCGTGAAAAAAGACGATAATAGGAGCATCCAGATGTGTAGCAAGAGCCCACACAACCACAATTTTCCAACGATGTTGTAAGAGTCTTAAGAATGATTTCAAGAGGTGCAACCGGTAGAGGAGAGTCATATTCTGAGAGAAAAAATACACTTAAAATCCATTATACAGTGTCAAACTATAAAAAATTCCAACCACGCCTGAGAAAAGTCACCCCAATACCTTTTTCATGAAGACGACTATGGCGACATAGTTCGAGCTCATAATGATCCCTTGGTCATATCAACATACATGGAAAATCTTCAAGTTAAAAGAGTATTCACATATCGATAATGATAGTTCTGCCGACATTATCTTCGGGAAACATTCAAAGGAATAAATATTCCTGAAGAACAAATAACTCTGTCAAATAGGATTGTTGGAATTTATGGTGAATATGTGCAAGCGAAAGGCACAATTGAGTTACAAGTCACCTTTGGGATCTTTTCTAAAGGAAAAACCATCAAAGTACATTTTTATGTTATTGACTGTTCATCTGCATACAACATTATCATAGGAAGGCAATCCATAGTCAACCAAGCAGATGAACAATCAATAACATAAAAATGCACCTTTTATGATTTTTGCTTTAGGAAGGATCCCAAAGGTGACTTATAACTTAATTGTGCCTTTCACTTGCACATATTTATTGAAAAATCGCAACTATCCTGTTTGACAAGGAGTTATTTGTTCTTTAGGAATATTCATTCCTTTGATGTTTCCTGGAATATGATGTTGGCAGAACTGTCATTATCTGATCCTGTTTATGTGGTAGAGGCCTGAGACTCACAGAAGAAACATTGGGCATAACAAGTGCTGATGACGTAGAAGGTTTAGGTGGAATCCTAAGCAAAGTAGATATCACATAATCTAGTGTAGGAACTATAGCAGATCCCAAAATCTCATCCGATTGGCAAATAAATATGAAGGTAAACCATAGAGAATCAACAACATAAAAAGGGTATTATGTTGTTCCAACTCCTTATCAATATCACCAGTAAAGGGCAGAAGTTCATCGAGATCATGAAGTAAACTCTGAGCTTTCCCCAACTACTCAGACATAGGACCATTAAAATTGTGAGGAGCAAAGGTAGACATTAACTTCTGACACACACTATAGAGTCATTATGTGTCATTGGTGTACAAGTCCTTCGCTTGATGCCAAATAGCCTTATAAGTGTTTGCAGGCTAAAAAATTTGCTTAATGGAAAGATGAAGAGTGGGCTTGATGAGACTGCACAGCTGAGAATTAATCAGCTGAGAATCAATCATCTTCCATCGTGTGCGCTCACCAGCCGCAATAGAATCAACTTCAGTAGTTAGATGAGACGTATAATTATGCCAATCCAACCAAAGTTACAGATCTGAAGACCATGAATCGTAGTTTGAGCCATCCAATTTATCCATACTAAGCGGAGCAAGGATATAATTGGCAAAAGTAGGAGGATCTGACTTAGGGCCAGTCGGAGATCCAGAAACAGAAGAAATAGGAGAATCCATAATCACCAAATAAAAGAAACCAAGAAAAAATCAGAAACGTCTAATCATAAAACAAACCTAGGATCTGGAATCACTGATAACGAGATCAAAATTTCAAAGATCCAGAACTGTCTCGGAGAGGGGAGAAAATTCAGACCAGTTGCAGCCAGAGATGAGGCTCTACGCCACGGCCGGCTAACCAAACTGAGCATCAAAACTTCCATGCGCGCGTGAGGACGCGTGGCTGACCAGACGAAGATGAGACTTGGACCAAACGAACCGCACGGCTGAGAAGAGCACAACGATAAGTTGCTCGCCGAAAAATTCCAATGGACGATGATGGTCAATGACGGACGAACGTCGGTCAACTGGTGTCTAACGATGATGCGTGATGAGAAAGGGCTGGTAACAACGCCAATGAGTCTTAAAGAAAAAAAACTTCTAGAAACTGACAAAGAGACAGTATCCAAAAGAAATTTGAAAAGGAAATGAACGAGAATAAGTGGATGAGGATTCGTCTCATTAGGCTCTAGATACCATGTAGAAAAACAAGAGACGAAAGAAACATTGAATGAATTCATGTGTAATAGCACAGTGGAGGATAATATATATATATGTATATATATATATATATATATATATATATATATAGTTACATGATACAAACAAACTAAAAAATACATGGTGGGCTAAGCCCATGCTATTTCTATTTTAATATACAACACTTCCAGACCGATGAATTTCTCTTATCTCGCACGTAACTCCTCAATGGTCTTTGGCTTTGTTTTGCCGAAGATGCAGAGAACGGTCCATCTTGGAGACCATCTGTAATAAGATGTAAAGAGACTTCAGGGTCAAAATCTCTTACAATGAGAGCTTCATCAAAGAACCTGTTTTAATAATGTCGCGGGGATTCCCTAGCTTCATGCTTAACTGTCTTCAATGCATAAGTTGATTTGTATTGAGCTTTGCTGGTTGCAAATTTCCCCAAAAATTGATTGGCGAGATCCTCCCAGTTATGATGAGTTTGGTGGTATGGCAAAATATCACCTTAAAGCCACTTCTTTCAAAGTGGTTGGGAAGATCCAGCAATTTATTGCTCCTGTGGATATCACTTACCATTGTATTTTTCAGTAGTAATTTTAATATCCTTTGGAATTGGCAGGTTTATGATTTGTGACGTGAAGGGATGAGCCACTTTAGAAGCTTTTTGATGTGAATTCTGATCCATGTGATAGTTAGCGACATGGCTAACTTAAGGCTAGTGGTTTTCTGTTTTCTACTTTTCCTTTTTTTTATGAAGGACAAAGATCTTTTTAGGGCTGTTCTGGTCCATTTTCATTCTCATCGTATTTTTCTTCCATATTATAATGTTTTTAATGATCAAATTGCTATTTTTTAAATTCTAGTAATTCTTGTTGTTGTTCTTCAAGCCTCAAGCTTTGTTGCTTTAGAAGTTCAAGGATATGTTGATTCGTAATAGCTACTTGTTGAATTAATAGGTTGTTCTGCTGAGGGGAGATTGGAGACACAGAAGAGGTTGTTCTTCTGCGAGATGACTACCATATCTACTTTTTGGCTTTATATACGTTCTGAGATTTTGTGATCTTTCTCGTTGCATCAACCATGTCTTTATTTATTTATATGGAGTGAGAGTCAAAATTTATCGATCGTACAGATGGCGCCAATGATCGGTCCAACAGAAATTGGGTTGGGTCTTATCGTACACGGTTGAAAATGAAAGATGTTAATGAAGAGAAGGGTTGATGACAAGGGATCTAGCTGAGATGTTGGGCTGTTTAGCGAGATAGTAAATCCAGAGGTTTAATGTATGATCAGTTTGGAGGAGACTGGGGGATACTTGCAAGTCACTCCAACAAGTCAGTTTAGTATTCAATATAGTTCAAGTATTTAAAAAGAGATATCTTACTGGGCTGAATGCCCCTGTATTTATAATATGTAATGCCTTACCACATGTCGCCTTTCAATGGCGATGGCAATTCTTAGTAGTGGAGAAGGGTGGCTTTCACAGGCTATTCCTTGGGCGAGAAGTCTATGGTCAGACTAGTTTCAGCAGATGTAGGGGAAAGCTGGTGTTGGCATTCATTAGGTTCACGTGGAAGTCAAGTTGCCTGAGCTGCTGATCTCGACAATAATATTTCCTTAGCTGCTAAGTCGCTTCTGGCTTGTTAGTCTAAGACTAGATGTTCATTGTCCATTTGTAGATGCGGTCCCTTCATGGTTAAGTATATGGTTCATTGGGCCTTCTAGGTCTTTATTAGATTGGGCATTTGTAACACCCCGTATATATTCGGTAATGTTATCATACTATCGTATTAAGCAGCGCTTAATTAAAAATGCGGAATATCTTTTTCTTTTGGATTATGATGTCATTATCATTACCAACTTGCTTATTAATCAATTAATAAAACATCGCCTGTATGTAATTGCAATAAAACAGCTAACTGAAATACCTCGTTAAATAAAATAACATAATGTATGGCTCTAGTCACGGAACTACAACACGTAGACCAGACCAACTATCAGTTTATACAACCAAACTCAAAAGTACTAACGACATAGTGGCATGGACAACTCCCATGCTCACCCAAATAAGGCAACAAAGCCCAACATAAGTCTCAACATGAACAACATATAATAGTGTGGAAAACATAAACAACATCCAATCCAGTCATGCTAGCAAATAAGCAGTAATATCATAATCAGCTAAGCTCTGGCCTCCTGCCGCCAGAGGCATCAGTCACCATACTACCTGAACCTGAAATAAGCATTCCCCAAACGTGGGGTGAGATCTTTAAACAAGAAATCTCAGTAAGGCAAGGGGTCCTCAAGGATCTTCCACCCCAAGCTCACTTACATGTGCAATATAAGTTTAAAAGCAGTTCATCAATATCATTTCTAAAACAGTGCAATGCAGCAGATAATCATGTCATGTGTGTCAATTCTATTCTACTGGCAAGAGAAATGCAGGATTTATATACGCCAAATATCCACACATAGTGCAAGACGCCACTTGCATTCACCCCGGACCGCCATATCGTATGACGCCACATACTCAGGCTTACCGTCAGGATGAAACAACACATGCATATTAAAAGCCATTACACATAAAGCTCAACAGCATTTCGAATATTCAAAGCATGTAACACAGCATGCATATAACCACACCCCCATGGGACATGGTGGAACCACAACATGGCTAAACCGAGGATACGAAAGCTTACCTTGCAAGCTAACACCCAAAGCCAAGAGTCCACAACACAAAGTCCAAACACAACAGATTCACAATCTGTTATGGACCAATACTATATCAATAATAATGCACCACAAGCATATAACTTAAAGACAACGTCTTTCCTTTACGTTTTACGTCTTAAGGCTCCATACCAAGCCATAAGCCCTTAATCACTTGATTCTGACTTAGTTCATTAATTACAGAAGTTCAACTTCATCAAACTAGGGTTCACAAACCCCCAATAGCCTACTGTACACATAGCACAGCTACTGTTCTTCGAAATCCCAAAATATTCGGATATTCCTCGGAACCATATCCGGATATTCAATATCCGGATATCTCACTGTACATATCCGGATATCCAGATTCCCGTATCCGGATATCCAATATCCGGATATTTCACGACAGAATGCAGAAACTGTATTTCGTGAAGATATCCTTCCAAGGTTCCATTTTTAACACTTTCAAACGTTAAAGCATGTATCTTTATACTATTTAAGGGTCATACCACTGTTGGTTACTCGATTAACTCTTTAAACATGCAAAGACACCTCTTTTAATCAACAAAACACATGATCAAGGTTGGTACAACTCACCAAAGCTCAAAACAGAGGAAGAAAGGCTCGTGGAGCTCTCAAATCTGCCTCTACAGGTCTGACCTTCAAGGCACACGAAAATGGTGATCGAGAGTGATCCTTTCACACAAAAGTTCACTCCTTGAAGCTCCCACAATCAACACAAAGCCCCAACTACACCAATGCAAGAACTCAGCCCCAAACCTTGACTCAAGACAGTTCCCACAACTCAGAAGATGGGACCTCAACCTCCCAAGGCACTCACCCAAGTGTTTACTCACTCAAAGAGGAGAAGAAATGGATCAAAGGTGGTAACTTAGCTCACAAATGGAGGAGAAACCATAGGCAAGCAACCAGCAGCTGACCAGCCTCCTAACACTCACGCATTAGTTAGTTTTCTGGGGCAATGTGCCCTTAATAAGGTTATTTGTATCCGCTTTCCATTAACACACACAGTATTAACTTTAATTGCTACGCTTAGCATTTTAATCCCAAACTCTGGATTCTTAACCTACTAAATTTTACAAGAATTATCATATTTTTCTTATAATTTTCGGAGCACCTTTTCGGTACGCGCTTTTCAAAGTCAGTACCGGTTTCTAGCACCAGTTCTCATTATTTGGACTTGAAACTCGTTTTAAAAGTCCTACATATTATTCTAGTAATTATCATGCACTTACTTTAATTTTATGGGATACTTTTTTGGTACGCATTTATACCGACTAGTAGAACCGGTATCTGCACTTTTCTTCCGAAAAGCGACTTTCAGCATTCTTACTCACTTACTATAATTATTAAAGCCTCATAATAATTGTTAAGGTCAATTATGGAATCATTTCCTAATTTTGCATAATTCATTAATTAAAATCCTTAATTAACAGTGCGGGTTCTTACATTCACCCCACCTTTTTAGGATTTTGTCCTCAAAATCAGAATATACCTGTCTCGGAAGTCGGGATACTGCCGGAGAAGCTCGTCCTCTCGCTCCCAGGTACACTCCTCAGGAGTTCTTCCGGACCATTGCACTTTGACCATCGGAATGATCTTGCTCCTAAGCTGCTTCTCGCCACGATCGAGAATCTTTAATGGTCCGACGGGAGTCTTTAGGTTCTCCCGAACCTCCACATCATCCGGTTGCACCACGTGCAAAGGATCCACTACGTACTTGCGAAGTTGAGACACGTGAAACA